TAGTATGTGGTAGTAGTAGTAGTAGCAGTAGTAGTATTAGTAGTAGTAGTAGTAGTAGTAGTAGTAATAGTAGTAGTAGTAGTAGCAGGAGTAGTAGTAGTAGCAGTAGTAGTAATAGTAATAGTAGTAGTCGTCGTCGTAGTAGTAATAGTCGTCGTCGTTGCTGTTGCTGTTGCTGTTGCTGTTGCTGTTGCTGTTGCTGTTGCTGTTGCTGTCGCGGTCGCGGTTGCGGTTGCTGTTGCTGTTGCTGCTGTTGCTGTTGCTGTGGCTGTCGCTGTCGCTGTTGTTGCTGTTGCTGTTGCTGCTAGTAGCAGCAGGACACACGTTTGGCAGGAACGTGCTTGGTGCGTAGAGTCCGTAAGACCTACATATCGCCATCATCACAAGTATGGAGCCAGTACAGGTTTGCGGTAACACATTCGGATGGCACTCGCAAGGCCCGAATGGAAAGGAACTTTGCTAGTTCAGAGTCGGGAAACGATAGCTTGGGATTGATCAATCCCAGCCATGCAAACCTCGACGCTTTGCCTCAAGCTGCTTCATGTGCTGCTTTAACTCAGATCCAGAGAGCCATTTTAATATTATAGGCCCCCATGGCAGATACAGATCAAGCACAGGTCAAAGCAGCTAAAGGAAAAAAGGGCTGCGCCCTGCATAGAGTACCGATCTCCCCCGCGACCCGGATCTCTTCTGTCCTGAACCCTAGAGGCTAAAACTTGTATACCCAGCAGGGACCGGTCACAAGTCTGTTTCAAAAGGCCTGCTAAAACCGGAGAATTGTAACAACTTACAGTGTCAGGCTGAAAAAGCACTTGCCTGACGTCTTCTCCTTCTTCAGCATCACTGTTGGTCTTGATTGATCCTGAGATGAAAGCTGCCCTTGGCCTATTGGCACGGACATAAGTTGACATAAGGGATCAACCTCAACTGCCCATCATTGAGGAATTCTGGGGCTCGAGGTGCTCAAGGCTGTGGAAAATTCACAAAATTCAGAGCATGAGGTGTTGCCGGGTTTAGTGTAGATCTTGTGTTTAGGGTTTAGGGCTGTCTCTGCAGTGTCTTCAGAAATACGGACGACAAGCGAGAACACGCACGACTCCGGAAACTTGTTGCGCCTTCTGAGGCCGTTCAAACTGTTCTAGCATGAATTTCAGCCCAACGGACCCCGTTTCAATATGCCACCAATAATATAATGAAAAGAACAATAATACCAACAATGCGGCTAACAATACCAATAACAATAAGATATATTGTGTCATGCTAACAATAATCCATGTCAGTATGTTCCGTCTCCAGCTCGAGACCGCGGAAACCGTTCCTAAACCCAAAGCCCTAACCCCAAGAGCCAAGGGGTGGGAGGGGGTGTATTCTAGCATCAACATTTAGGGACTGCAAGGAAGTATAACTACTAGTTTTTCAAACCGCTATATGACCGAGCAGAAGTACATCAGGCAAGGACCAACTCATCTTACAAGCTCTAAAGCAATAACCCTAGATCCAGAGGCTTGAAGTCGCATAATCCCCAAACTCTATATCCTAAACCAAGTAAAGAAACCCTAAACCCTAAAATAGTACAATATATAGAATCATACAACATACTGAAACCTCTGTGTGTGCACATATATATATATACACACACATATATATATATATATGTATAGATACACACCTAATTCCTAATTCTATGCAAAACTGAAAGCCCAGCGTCAAGCTCAAGAGTTCCCAGGTCCCAAAGTGCTCGATGGTGACGGCGAGCCACGCGATGAAGCAGCAGGCCCTGTTAAGTTCCCCTTTTAGAAGGCGTTGTAGGTTTTCGGGTGTCCTCCCCATACAAGTCGTTGCTGATCTAGACCCTAAACCCCCTGAGCAAAACTGCAAACGCATTCTGCTAACGAAGTCAGGGGCATGCCAAAGATGTAGAACGACCAATCCATCCGAATGATGGTGCCCATGAACTCCCACCTCGGTCGAGTTTAGAGCTGAGCATCTCCGGATTCTTAAATTTTTCAGGGTTAATATATAGGGGCCGTAATAACTAGAAAATGTTTTGGGCTACTGTATACTATAAGTATGATAAGGAAACCCCCAAGGTGCCATAGGTTATTATTCAGGCTTCTCTCTTCGCATCATGGGGTTGGGTTCGGGTTGGGGTCGAGGGCCTAGGGACCCGATCTGTCAACTCGCATGTCCAAGCACCTGACCCACTCAAGACAACGCAGAAACAAAAACATGTGCACTGCCCTAAATCCAAACCTCTTCCCCAAAGAAGCAGACACACATAGCACACAGGGAGTGGGTTGTAATACCTTTATGCAACAAGTTCTAAGTGCCTCAGAAGTAGGATTCCAAAAGCGCTTCAAACATGAGTTCCACATTTTTTGGGGGGTGGTCGGAGTGATCCAAAAAAAAGTACCCTTGCAGGGAGCGTGGCCCAGACGGCTGATCAACTGAAAGCCTATGCCCTACACCTGGTGCTTTTAGGGCTACGCCTTACAAGATTTAGGGTTTGTGGGGCATGGGGTGCATAGAAAACCGCTGCGCCACATGTAGATCCCTGCTTCATAACCCCACCGCTTCCAAGGCTTTCTATAGAATCCCACGTACAAAACCCCGTTTCCTGTAAAGGCCTTAGAATACTCTTTAGTCAACCCTACCAAAGCCTAGGATCTCGACTGCCATTCTAGCAGGCATCCTTAAGCAACGGATGTACTATTTGTTCAGAAGTTAGTCTATAAAGAACTTTAAGTTGACAGCCGTATAGAGCCCCTGGTGGGCTGCTACCCTAAACCCGAAATCCGAAACCGTTTCTATATGACTCCATGCGCGGAGGGGCAAGCTGAAGCCCAACAGTCGCAGGAGCAAGACCTGCAAGACGGCGAGAACCTGAGTCAGCCTAGACTTTGGAGGCATCTATGGTGTCGGGGGGTTTTGATCTTCAGGGGTTTAGGCGTTTTAGGGATCGAGGGTTCAAGGTTTCGGGGTCAAGGGTCTGGGGTTCCGGGTTTGATAGGGTCTAAGGCTTTACGGAGTAGAAACGAGAAAGAGCTTTGGAAGGGGTTGTCTTATGGTAAAATGGGCGTCCTGCCGGAGACCCTCGGGCCCGTTTAGGACTAAGGGAATCGCAAGGAACGGTCGCTTCAATCGCCACTGCGATGGAGTTGCCCACCATGCCATCAAAATACTCGCTGCGCGACTCAAATCGGAAGTGCAGGAAGAAGTCGCGGTTCCCAGTGAATGCTCCGGAATGTAAGAGGCTCGCCAGCATCATATAAAGTAGTGGAATGCAAACTTCACAGAGCTCCATCGTAGCCAAACAACTCAGTGAATGTGTCCTAAGCTGCTCAGCACGAGACTTATGAACCTTGAAAGGGAATGAGAAATTGACGAAGGGGCGCCCCCAACCACCAACACAACTCCAAACATTAGATCAGGAAGGCGTCAGCTTCTTCAAAAGAACAACATCCGCAACACTGATCTCGGTTTTTCTCATCTCTGCAAAGCTTTGCGCCTCTGCCCGTCGTAGGACGGCTTTCAACCTCTGCCCCACCTGTCAGGCGGCAAAAAAGGAGGGACAGTAAAACGAGCAGCAGAAGTGATGATGACCAGCCCATTATTGGCAACAACGTCGCAAAGCTTAAAGGTTATGACGACGAGTATGATAGCAAGAATTGCGTTACCGACTCTATCTCAGTGCATGCAGAGGAAACCTAGAAGAACGATCTGAGTATTAGATAAACGCCCAGAGCCCTCAAGACATGCATTCAAGAATTCAACATAAAGAAGGCACCTTTATGCTTAGAACAGGGTTTTGTGGTGTATTGTGGTATAAGCATAAAAGGGAACCCTAGGCCTAATCTTGGAACTTGCCCAGGCTTTTATATTACCAAGCTGGCTGTTCTTATTTTCGGATCCTACGATCGATCCTTTCCTGTTTGGGGCCAGTGCTGTTGCTCCCATTTATGCGATGCGTTAATTTCACAGAGGCGCATCTGTTCAAGACAAGGAAGCTCTCATGCACGGGTATGTTCTAGATTCGGGCTTCGGGTTCTCTTTCGAGTGCCTGCCAGTTTACGACAAAAAAGGATTGGAAAGTGCATCGGAGTCTAGACCAGACCCCAGAACTATCTATGCTTAGATCCTTCAAAAAGCTCGGTGCCCTGGCCCAAGCCTGTTTCGTGATCTGGAACTTTCGGGTCAGGACTTCCTTCGCAGCGAAGATCATCCAGCAGCGCTTTGGCACCTCGGGACAACTCAGGGCCCTCTCAGCCCTAAACCTAAACACAATAACCAATAACAGCCCTAGTCACTATAAACCCTAAACCTAAACCCTTATGTCCGAAGATCCTTGGAGCAGGCTTGGGTTTCGGGGTTTCGGAGTTTATTGTTGAGGGCTTCGGGATGGCCTTGGGGGTTTATGGTCTGTGGATATAGTTTAGCTTCGGAATAAGGAAACCCTAAACCCGAAACTCTAACCAGTAAAGGGGTTCGGGAGTTTGGGGCCTAGGGCCTAGGGCCTAGGGGTTTAGGGTTGTTTAGCAAGCGTCGGGTTTCGGTGCTCAGGCTTATACCTCTCAGGAATCCATGCCGGAACCCGTGACTGAACTGAGGCTAAGTTCATGGCGTCAACCATGAGAACCCAATACCCCTTAATTAAGGAACATACCTTGCATCAGCATCAGAGCAAGCCGGGCATGGTCATTACGTAACCTTCCATCCAAATCCCGGTCGGGAGCCTCTTCCTTGGTTGTCTCGGAAATCGCGATATCCTCGGGATCCAGCTCGCCTCCATAATCATAGATACCATCTTCTTCTTCCAGTGCCTCTAACGGTTTAGGGCTTGGAGATTTGGGGCATAGAGTGTCAGGGCTTAAGGCTGCCAACCAGAAGACCTATGATTCTGGCACTCTGCAGGCAGGCCTTACCGAAAAACGCACCTCCTCTAAAAGGGATGCTAAACGACCTCAAATCAGTCGTTGAGTTCGGTGGTTCAGGGCTTAGTGCATTTTCACCAAGCAGCAAGATCTAAGGCCCTGCTACGGGCAGTTATCAATTCGCGACCCTCAAACCACAGGGCTTTAAACCTTAAGGCTAGATAAAGCCAGAATGAAGAAAAGTTAACACGAATGAAGACAAGCTTGGACAAACAAGGGTAAGTAAAGACAGCAATTGGCCCGAAACGATATAGACAAAGCTTGTACCGCGTGTGCCAAATCAAAGCAAAAAATAGAATGTCAAAACTATGAAAGAGATCTAGTTTGAACAGGGTGTCAAACCACTTTGAGAGGCTCAAACAATGATTGAACAAAGCAACCGCAACAGATCAGACCTTTCATTTTTGCAAAGGCTGGCCTGAGGGGGGCGGTCTCTCCCCCTGGCTTAACTTGAAAACGAAATTTCAAAATCCTAAACCATACACCGTAACACCAAAACTTGTCTTTGGGTGATTTAGGAGGAACTCCTCGGGTGCGTCACTGCTATCAAGCTGTAGGGGCGCAAAGAAGAGTTGCACGACGTGGATTTCGACATTCTTTCAGAACGGATCGCTCAAAGCTCTCATCTTGCACTCTGGCGGGTGCGTGCGTGCATGCGTGTGTGTGTGCCAAACTTGACCGAATACAATAGGCAGGCTCCCGGCTCCTGTCGTTTTGGGTTGATTCTGCCTCAAACCCGAAAACCTAAACCGCCCCCACCAAATCCCGAATGGTTGGGAATCCAGGTGCATTAGGGACTTTGGGGACTAGGCTGAGTTAAACGGGTAAGGCTTCGGGATTTAGGGTTTGACTGGGTAGACTTGGTAATTCGCACGGTGTATTTCAACACTATGTGAACTCATCCAAGCTTGTCGCAGCACCCGCCCGGAGTCCCTTTCCACGTATGACAGATATTTCGTCTCCTCTCTTAGTGTTCGGGCCAAGTTCGGGACTCGCCTTAGTAAGCGCGCCGACGAGCTTCAACCACGGGACACGAATGCGTGAGTTCCGGGACGGCTTTCTTGACTTTGAAAGCTAGGAGGCCCAAATGGAAACCGCTGACTAATCAGCCGACGGAAACAGCTGCCATGCGGAATCCCACCGCTGTCTTCGCCCCGTGTCCGTGGCCCCTGAGCCACAACGATTCATAAACATATGCCCTAAACCCTATGGCCCTCTAAACCCTCATCTAGGCACTAGTTCCGTTCTCCTCCTGAGCAGCAAAATCCCTGTAAAACCAAGCAGCCTGGACCAGCTCCCAAATCAGCTTGGCAGTCATGGCCAAGGCCTTGCCTGCAAGCACCCGGGGTTTTTCTAAAGGATATAGAGTTTCACAGTTTTGGGAAGCTAAGGGTCTACGTCCTCTCGAACAGACAAAAGTCTTTTCAGTAGGGTGTCGAAGGCTTCGACTTCGAGAGGTCTCAGGTCCTCCTAGGGCTCTGCTTCCTGAAAGTCTATATGGAATCTCGTGATGTAAAAGCCTTAATAATCAGAATAGAGTGTGGGGCCTCCTCAAAGTATAAATATACCAAGGAACCTTAAGGAATAATATTGGCAATTATTTAGGCTTCTAGATTTCCGAAAGAATATCTGGGTGCCAAAGCCTGCATCCAGCGCGGCGATGAGCAGCACCACGCCGATACTCTTGGCAGCGGACATGAGGCTCGCGGAGGTCAAGAGGCTCAAAAAGAAAGCCGCAAGCTTCACCTCATTGGTCACGTACCTTCAAGGCAAGGTTCGACAACTGAAAGAACTTATAAGGGCTTAGGCTGTACGGTACAGCACAAGCCTGGGTCTTTATGAGCGGAGTCCAGCAGGTTCACCACTAGAATTGCATGCCAGAAACCCTACACCCTCAACCTTCAGGGTCCCAACCTTCGGCTAAAGCCATCACCATGCCTGTCAACTCTCCTCAAAGCATCAATCCGGCGAAAAGGGGCGAGGATAAGGATGACTAAGCCACTATAATTACCAACGAATACTCCAAAAACTCAAGATTCTAGAATTCCAATCCTAATCTCGAGATTACCTTGAGCCCCGTCCCACAACCTTAGGCCCTAGACCCCTTCATTCTCGACAATTCCTGCGTGCGCCGGGGTGGGGGTGCCGTCTTGCTACAGGCGAGTAAGACTCCAACATACTCCAGACATTAGCACTACGTTTAAGGGTTCCGAGAAGGGTTCCCTTGCGGTGTTTTTCCAGTGTTTCTTTTTCTGTTATTGTGTTGCTATGACTATCGACAGGTTGTGCCTTGGACAGCCCATGCGATCTGCCAACTTCTGTGTCAGCGATCCCGTCAAAGCGACAAGGATGGACATTCCACCTGCTGGGCTCTAGTCGGGGTTGTAGGCATTTCGTGAGTGGGGGTTTTCCCCTCCAGTGGATATGGAATAGTTCAACCTACTCAGACGCACTTTGATGGGGTTTATAAGAAGAGCTTACAAGAAAGTAAGGATCCATGGCCAACAACATGAATCCAGTCTGCCCAGCCTGTGCTCAAGGCCTGCCAATGCCTGGGCTCTGCAAACAACTAAGGAGAACGGTTTACTGTTTTGGGGTTTACAGGGTTCTAGGGTTTAGGGTCTAAGGGTTTAGGGGGTTTAGGGTATTATGATTTAGGAAATAGGGTTTATGTCTCGACTTTTGTTTGCAAACTGGTCTAAGGAAGCCTGATCCACGGAACACAAGAAAGCAGTACTCCTCAACCCAGATGCTCAGGCATGCTGGGAAACTTGGCCACCCAAAGGATCAGGGCGACAAACTCCCCCATCCAGAATATCCAATTCAGGCAGGTGAACTTGACAAACCTGAGTTGTTGTAGGCCTGTTGGTGAATTGAACTCTAAGTAGGATTGACACTACATCGATAATAACAGCCGCAGTAGCAGAAGTTGTTGTTCTTCTTATTGGTTGAACCGAGAACAAAAAAACCTTCACAGAAGTCTTTCAGCAACGGCCTAGAAACTGCAAGGTCTCGGGCGTCAACAGGTCCTTTGGCAGCATCCGCAGGAAAATCACCAAAGTGCCCAAGCATGCTGGGATGCAAGAGAGAACCGGGGCCACCGGAATGGGATAGACCTGTAACCAGAGTTTGTTGCAACATCTTCTGGCCTCTTCTTAGAGCCTCGAGGTATTCGGCCTTTGAGGTGCTTGAGTTTTCCTAGCAGTGTTCTGTTCAACATGGCCAACAAAAGACTACAGGCTTCCTTCTGCTGAGACACGCCCGCAAATGACAGGATCAAGTGAGCCAGCAAGCACAGAGGTGGGTCCTTACTTCCCGCTTACTCAAGGAAATGACCGGCTGAACTTTAAAACGGAATCTTACGCTTCCAGAAGACTGCTAGATTATCTTAAACCCTAAATCAACCTGAGGCTTTCACAAGACTATTAGATGACAGGAACCCCTCAACAAAATTTGAAAGGCTGCGCGTTGGAGAACAAAGAATCGGCCAAAGGTACGAGGCAGACGATCCACCGGATCCTGGTCCTCTCCTGTGTTCAGGCTCTCAGCTCGGATGGCTGTTCAAATTAGCCAAGAACCATACCGACAACTTATTTATCCATCCCTCCATCCATGCATGACATGCATGCATAGACACATACATAACATACATACATAACATACATACATACATACATACATACATACATACATACATCACAGCGACCCAGCCCTGGTGGTAGAATGCCACACAAGGCTTGCACAGTAAAACAATCCCCTAAACCACGAACCCCTGAAACTACAGGAGTTCGGATATGAGGGTTCTTCGTCTAGGGAGCTAAACCACAAATGGAAGGAGAGCCTTGCCGGAAGACCTAGAACTGGTGAATCTAGTCCTGCCTGACACGAAGCCTTATAAGCATTCCTTTATACCTCACCGTGCAGGAAGTGTGTCCAGAGAGCCCAAAATCACTTTTTTGAAGGAATACCCAACCCTAAGCCCTAAACACTGGGCAAATGCGACCGTGAAAAGCTGTCGAAGCTCTCTCTCTCTCTCTCTCTCGCTCTCTCTCTCTCTCTCTCTCTCTTTCTCTGGCAGCGTTCACATGAGGTCATGTAAGCTGAGTCAGGGCCACGCGTTTGCCGCCTAACCTGTCTATCTGCTGCTGCCGAGATTCATCCATATACTTACATATACACGCCAGGGGTGCAAGCTTTCTGTGTTTGAGAAGGGCTGGCCAAAGTCAAAGTTAAGGCTTTCTGCATGTGTATCGCAAAGCTGTAGCTTAGATGAAGGGGCAGTCACAACTATGCGTGTGTATACATATAGACTTATGTTTGTATTTCTACATATTTAGGTCTATATTCCTGTGCTGGGTAGCTAGTTGTGTGGCAGGCAAGCCAGCGAGCTGGGGGGGGAAAGGTAGATAGGCAGCTATCTAGCTAGGTGGCTCGCTCGCTCGCTCGCTCGCTCGCTCGCTCGTTCTTTCGAGAAGGTAAACAGGAGACAAAGAGAGAGCGAGAGAGAGAGAGAGCGAGCAAGACAAATCACACGTGTGTGTCTGTGTGTGTGCGTGCAGCAACAGGGCGTGTGTTTATAGGCAGAGACATAATGACATAGATACTATAGAGATATCTCTGTGTTCAACGATCAAGTCTGTGATGGCAGTAGTATATAAGTCAGGAGTTCCTCTCTGAAGACATGGCTCGAGAACGTCCGGAGTGGCACGTCTATGCGATAGTAGTACTAAGTTGGAACAATCCCCAGGACAGCAGTGCACCACCCGCAGCGCCGGCTCAGGACTTTCTATGCACATGTGTATGTACATGTATAACTACGTGTGTGGACATATATCTAAATGTACACACGCCGGTTATACAAATAAAAAATAGACAGACAAACAGATAGATAGATAGATAGATAGATACGTACATAGATAGATAGATAGATAGATATGTAAATAGATAGATCGATAGATAGTTAGCTAGATAGATAGATAGATAGGTGCAAATAACGCGCACACACATATATATATATATATATGTGTGTGTGTACGCATGTGTGTGTGTGTGTGTATAATATGTCTGGTTCTGCAGAGCCCCGTCCTGGATGCTGAAGATGCGAGCGATCATCTCAATCTGCCCTCTTGCAATGACATAGTTGAGAAGTGGATGGGCCAAGAAATTGAAGCTCCAGTTGCCCCAAAACCCCTCTTTTGGTGAGGCCATTGGCAGCACAGTGTAGAGGAGGAATGTAAACAAAGGGATGAGCACCATGAAAGCAGTAATGATGACCACTGTCTCAGAAAGCCGACGCAGCGTCGACTTGCCGTCGAGGCATCGGTCCTGTGGACGGTTTAAGGCTGATAGGGCTTGGGGTTATGGGTTCAGGGCTTAAAGGGGTGAGGATAGTTCATGGGTTACTCAGAAATGGGGGTTACAAGTTGCAGACAGGGACTTTATAGCAAACTAAACCATAGCTTGGACTCGGCAAAGCCCAAGCCGACTTATATTGACCTCCACATCCTTCAACCTTAAATCCGGCGCAGGAGTGCCCATGGTCCTGTAGGTACCGAAACAGCTGACCTTCGATATCAGACATCTGGCTCTTCAGCTGCTTCAGTGGCGTCACTGTGTTTGGCGCTATAGAAAAGAGCTGCATGTTGTTGATCGACTTCCCAAATTGCTGAGCTCCTCCAGAACGAGGTGGGAGCGCAGAAACAGATCTGCTCCACTTCTGCTTGAACCTTACGTGCCCAGTTTCTTAGGGTGCATTGCAAGCTTACTGGTTTCCAATAAGATTTAAAAACTACCCGAGAAAAATCGACAGCGTCTCGCTCATATACACTCAGAAGCTGCCGTAGCCCAAAGCTTCTGTCTCGAGCCAGAGGTGCTTCTTTTGCAGCTTCAACATCACCCACGCCGACTCCGCCTGCACCGCCTTAGCAAACTCAGTTTTAGGCTAAGGCTAAGGGCCTCAAGCCCTAAACCCTAAAGTGCTCATCAAACAACCCCAAACCGCTAAACCCCTAAGGTGTAGGGTTTCAGAGTTTACCTGTGCAGGGGTTCAGGGTTTATTAGGGGCTTAGGGGTTAGCGGTTAGCGGTTTAGGGTTACAGACCCCTGAGCCCGAATCCCTCCAGCCCACATCCCTGAAACCTAGACCCTAAACCCACATCGCCCAATGGGCCTTGGCTTTTGGCCACTGGGGCATCATCGGGGCACGCTCCGGGCAATTGAACGTCCTCTCGGGAGGCCAACTTCCGATGCGACTGCTGTGTAGTAGTTACCCGCTTGGCCGTGCAGGATATGGCCACGAACATAGGGACATCGACACTTGTACCAAACGGCATGCAGCGACCAAAGACAGGGCTAGGGATTGAAACATCAAAGCCCAACAGAAATCTCACCAACACAAGTTACCCTCCTGCATACCTAAGATCCTTCTTATGAGTACCGCGACGCAGGGTGCGCCCAAATTGAACGAACTCCTGTGAACCGAAGGACCGCCGAACTCAGCCTCATTCCCTACGCCTTGAACCCTCAAAACTAATACCCAACAAGACGCACCTCAAAAGCCGTTTATCCTGAATCGAAGCTCTTCCTGCCTCGAGCTTCAGGCCGGGCGTGGTCTTTGTGGACTCACTCCGAAGATCATCCGCCACCATGGCATTTCTAGCTTCTAGCCCCCTACGCAGCAAGTGGTGGCAGGTAGGATTTCAACTATGGGAACGAAGATGATCAGGCTCTTGAACTCCGATCGCCGATGACTTGTTGCATCTAGAAAACCTGGGCCCCAATACACAAGCTGCCGAAGACCAGTATCAAGATTCTGCATACCAGGCCGCAAGGACCCCAGAACAGTTACCTACACATCTTATGCCTGCAGAACATGGCAAGGCAAGCAGGCTGGGTGCGAGGAAGGAGCGACAACCTAAACCCTCTTCCTAAACACCAAGCCTCTAGACTCTAAACTCTTTTCCTACAGCCCTAGCCCAATACCTAATTGAAGGATCAGCGGCGTTAGTTGGAGTACGCAGGCCTGACAGTTGAGCAACAAAAAGTGTGTGTGTGTATATATATATATGTTCTAGGTCAACCCCAATTAAGGACGCTGACACCCGATCCTTCAAACACCCCCACAACCTCAAACCCGACATCGAAAACCTGTAAACGTTCTTACTTAACCCGACACCCTAAACTCCTAAATCAGAAACCCTAAACCTTTGCCTGAGCACCTTGATACTGCCTTTTCAGGCTGCTATAGTATCGGGCTTGGGACTTCCATCGGTCGACTAAAACCCTACGCCGTTCAGGTTCTGTAAGCCCCGTAAACCCTGTAGCCCCCGACGGCGACCCTAAACCCCGTAAGCCCTGGAGATAAACGAAACCCCAAGCATGCGCCCCAGAGACTTCCACCGGAGCCGTCAACCTCCAACCCCATAAGTCCTCGACCCTAAGCGCCAAGCCATTTAGACCCTAAGCATTCCGAATCGTAAACTCCAAGCCCCTCAGCTTTTCGGCGCTGCCGTGCAAAGGATGCCGTGTCTTACCTGAGCGCTCCTCGACATCTCCAACGGTTTGCCTTCTAAACTGTGAAGCTTGAGGTTCAAGGCACAGGGTACTAAGGTTTAGGGTTCGCCTGGCCTTCTAAGTTTAAAGCTGGCGGCTTAAGATCCAGACGCTAAACCCCAAACTCCAAAACGTGCACCCGAAACCCCAAGCTCCAAAAACCAAAATCCCGGAACCCCAGAACCTCAGCCCTGGACTGTAGAGTTTAGCAATTTGGGCTTAGAGGGCCCAGACCCAGGCCGGAAGAGAAGGCGAGACAAGGGGGCCGATCTAGTCCTGGAATAGGGATCCTGGGTGCCACCTTCTCGCCTCCATTGTAAAACCTTAAGTGGTTGAACCATTTTTACACTTAGGATCCTCTACAGTATTATAACCCCCCAAAAGGAACTACAATGGAGACTATAGCCAAAATAATAATGGTCCAAATAATTCGAAAAGGGTTCTGGGGGTGCATGAACATGGATTTTCAAACATGTAGTATAGTATAGGGACCTGCCTGTCTTAATGCAAAACCTCTACCAACAGACAACCCTGAAGCCCAACAGCCCTACTTGTAACACCCTTAACCCAGGAAAGCCCCTACACCCTAAAGCCTCAACACTAAACCTTTTACGCCCGAATCACAGGAAAAAGTCCCTGAACGGCGTAGAACCCTTACAATGAAGCCTTCTAGAACCCTAAACCCTAAACCCTTTAATTAAGTTTAAGGAATCCTTTTGGAAGGCACCGTGGGACGTCCAAGGCCCAGAATCTTCTCAAACCAACTCTGCGCTTCCGCAGCCATGTCTCCGTTGGTCTTAGGCTTTTCGGCTGAGGGCTTCTAGACTTTGGTTATGTTCTTAAGTTCTTCTTTTGGGTGGTTGCGTTATGATAGGGGCCTGACAGAAAATCCCAAGGCTGTACGGGGTAGCCATGCTAACCAGTCGGACGTCGATTTTGTCTTTTTATATAAATTCAACGGCTCGGGGTTTCGGGACGGTCCAAACGGCCGAGGCTTGGGCATTTTGGCGTTGAGGGATTTATGGCTTCGTCCCGATACAAGCTATCACAAAACCCTTAGTCCTACTAGTACCTTCATCCCAGCCTCTTTCTGATTGCTTAGATCCCTATAAACCCCACACCCCCAAACCCTAAACCCCGAACCCTAAACCCAACCTGAATCTTCGGAGTGTAGCGTTTAACGTTTAGGGTGCATCAACCAAGATGTTGCAGGAAACTCGTAATCACACAGACATAGTAGCGCAGAGTAGAAGCTAGAAAGCTTGGAACATCGCTATCCTCATGCCTTCATAGCAGACTACAGAGAAGCCCCAGAACTACTCATCTTTGCTTCATGATATATCATGCTTCAGCTTTGTCGAGCTCGCAGCGTATAGCAGAAGCACTGGCAAAGATGGCAAGCCCCCACCCTTCCGTCCAGAAGACTCTCCGTGGAATGCGTCTATTCTGTCGTTGCTTCAATTGCGGGGCTAGGGTTTGTAGAAGCTCCAGGCAAGGCCCGAAATCCAACCACACTTCCCTCACACATCTGCAGAGCCATCTGTGGTGCGGCGTCATGTTCTCAGGTTTGATAGATTGCGTTTTTGGGGTTCCGGCTTCATAATGAAGAAAGAGGGCTGCCAGTCGGGGACATGCCTGTTGCGTGCCGAATACTTCAGCCTAATGAAGGTGGTGTAGCAGCCTCCTTCGGAGGAGCCACACTTCAGTTGAATCAAAACCACATCTAGCCGACTAGGGTGCGCGACAAACCAACGAGTATTTCGGGAGGCCAACTGAGAAGAGCCTCAAGTAATTGAGGAGCGGGTTGCACAAGTGCGAGATTCCCCCAAAGAATCATACCGTCTTCCATGAATGACTTCTGACTAGATGCTGTTTCAGAGAACAGGGGGTCCTCATACAGAACGCGACTCAGACCTCTACAAGAACGAAGCACCACGTCAAGGAGGTTTGCGATAGTGCTCCAAAAGGAAGACAACACAATGTTACCGGTTTAGGGCACTGATTCCCACTCGTTCTCCCAAAGGCCCAAGCGAAGAAGAGGGCGACCCGGGAAGCGATCCCAATCCAACACCTCTGCACCCTAAACTCTAAACTAAGCCCAACCCAAGGGCCCCTATGGAGGCACGAGTTCTCAGGGAGGCCGCAGCATGGGCGCCAAATGATGGATCCATTGCCGCCGTAAGGCGGGGGTGCTCCGAGACCCATCAAGAAAGTCTGAACGCACGATTCGGCCTTAAGGGTGAGGGCCCCCGTTGCTTCCAGGAACGGAGGGCACCTCCCCCGCCCCACTCTGAAAAATGAACTTCAATCGATACTCTCTTGAGATTCTCGAGAATTTAAATGCCACATTCCTCGGCCAAGCTGCTGCCAAAAAGGTTGGATGGCCTAAACCCTCCGACTACTGCATCATGCATTCAACCAGCTCAGTAGGTCCCAGGTCCCAAAATGTGAGAGCATGATTGCAATCCAGGCAATGAAGCAGCAGGACATGGCGAAGACATAGAAGGAGAAGTCCAGTCGAACACATGTGCCCATGAACTCCCACCTGGTCGGTGGCCCTACGGCTTAGGGCCGAGGCTCGCTTTGGCATACCAAGGCAGGGCAGGTGGCGTGTGGGGGAGTTTCGAGTCTATGGGGATACTGGACCCTGTTGTCCCGGTTCCAGGACCGAGCAGAAAACAAAACGATGCCGTTCAGGAGCTCAGTCGCAAGTTGATGCCGAACATGCACTGAAGCCACACCTTCAAACCAAGGAGAACAGTGATTTCGATAGCTACCGCGACGGAGTTGCCCACCAGGCCATCGTGATACTCGATGCTCGACTCCGTCCGGAAGTGCAGAAAGTAGGTCCGGTTTGCCCCAAACAGCCCGGAATGCAGGAGACTTGCCAGCATCATATACAGGAGTGGAACGAAGACTTCACACAGCTCAATCACGGCCAAGCCCACCCAGGAATGTGTCAAAGTCTTTAACAGATGGGCCTGGGTTGTTTCGGCAGGCGCTGCCTCAAGACTCATGAATCCCAATCTCGCCCAACAGCACCCAAAGCCTAAACCCTTCTCAACTCTCAGAAAAGAGTTGCAAGACTGGCCCGGGGGGCATCAGCGGGACTGATCTCGGTTTTGCTCATCTCGGCTTGGGTCTGCTCCTCGACCTGGGGCCCAGCCGTCTCGTAGAGTCATACCGATGAAAACACAATAATATATATATATATATGCTAACCCCC